AGGCTGAGGCAAGAGAATTGCTTAAGCCCAAGAGTTTGAGGTTGCTGTGAACGGTGATGCCACAGGACTGTACTGAGGGCAACATAGTGAGACTCTTTCTTAAAAATAAAAAAAATTGGTAACACTCCCACTTCTTCCTTCCTTCCCCCTCTACCTTCTCCATTGGGCCAACTTTATTTTTACTTCTGTGAACCCAGAAGCAATAGACATAATGCCAGTTATGAGAAAGCTGGTGTGTCTCAGGGACAACACACATTATAGCTTATCTTTGAAAGATCTTTGAAAATGTTGGTGCTATTATACTGATATCTCTTTCTTTATATACTCTGTTTCCCTGAAAATAAGGCCTACCCCCAAAATAAGCCTTAGCAACATTTCTTTGCATTTGTTAAATATAAGCCCTACCCTGATAATAAGACCTAGTGATGGGCGTGGCTATGCAGATCGATGGGCGTGGCTACACCGCATATCTGCATAGCCGCGCCATGCATTTCTGCAAACAGTAAGACATCTCCTGAAAATAAGCCCTACTGTGTCTTCTTGAGAAAAAATAAATATAAGACAGTGTCTTATTTTGGGGGAAACACGGTAGATGCAGATGATCCATCATAGACAGTCATAATAGAGGCTGTAGAAAGACAGATGATAGGGCGGTCCCTGTGGCTCAGTGGGTAGGGCACCAACCCCATGTACCAGCCCTGGCCAAACTGCAACAAAAAAATAGCCAGTCGTTGTGGCAGGGACCTGTGATCCCAGCTACTCGGGGGCTGAGGCAGGTGAATCGCCTAAGCCTGGGTGTTGGAAGTTGCTGAAAGCTGTGTGATGCTATGGCACTCTACTGAGGGCGATAAAGTGAGATTCTGTCTCTACAAAAAAAAAAAAGAAAGAAAGAAAGACAGATGATAGACAGGTGATGGAAAGAGATGGGTGGAGAGATATAGAGAGATAAAGATGATGGATGGATAGATAAATAAAGATACAGGTAGATAGTGGATGAATAGACAGATAAGTGGACAGATATGTGGATAGATGCACAGATAAAGAGATAGATAAGAAAATAGATGTATAGATGAACAGGGAGATAGAAGGTTCGACAAGTGGACAGGTAGCTGGAGAGATGGAGACACAGACAGATGCACAGATAGATTTAACAGATGGATGAGTAGATAAGTGGACACCCAGGGCGGCACCTGTGGCTCAAAGGAGTAGGGCGCTGGCCCTGTGTGCTGGAGGTGATGGGTTCAAACCCGGCCCCGGCCAAAAATAAATAAATAATAAAGAAATAGACACACAGACACATGCAAACAATGTGACTTAATCATCTGTGTGCATGTATTAATCTGAAAAAAAAATAGGTACAGAGATAAGAGATGAATAGAAAGATGGATGGATAGATGGGTAGATGGGTGGATGAGTGTGAGAGTTGGATGGATACCCGAATAAATGGATAAAAGATAGGTAATATGAAAAGAGAGGTGACTGGGTAGACGGATATTCTCTGCTTCCCAGAATCATCGAAGAAGGAGGCCCCATTTCTCGGCAACCTTGTCAGGGTGTAAATCTCTTGTGGTGTTATCTTGTAGGCAAAGGTGACATTCCAAGGGTACAGCCCTTCTTATAAACTGAACAGGCCATGCCTCTGAATGTCCTTTTATTATTATTTATTTATTTATTTACTTTTTGCAGTTTTTGGCCAGGGCCGGGTTTGAACCCACCACCTCCAGTATGTGGGGCCAGTGCCCTACTCCTTTGAGCCACAGGCACCACCCCATCCAAATTTTGATTATTGCTATTATTAGTTGTTACACTGAATCTTTTCTTCTTAACTATCTCTTCTATCATGTTCATTCAAACATCTGGACACTCCTACTAAGAATAGATGCAGCACGCGAATGCCTCGGTTGGTCGGCAAAAACACGGCACGGTGGGTCACATCTGTAATCCCAGCACTCTGGAAGGCTGAGATGGGAGGATCCCTTAAGCTCCAGAGTTTGAGACCAGCCTGAACCAGAGTGAGACCCC